AAAAATATTTAAATTTGAAATTCAACCCATTAACCACTTAAAGCAAAATCCGTCCACCCTCCGCAACAGTTTGTCGGGTGGACAAATTAAAATTTACTCTAGCTCACAAAAGAGCCAAATGCCTAGTCGAAAATATTACTAGGATCCATTCTCAAACAATCTCTTGCCAGTAAGGACGTGGTACGTGTCCTCTAATCGGCAGTTTCGCCGCCAAATGGCACTGCAGGTAAACGGTTATGACCCGGGGCCCTCTGAACCGAGTGGTTTTGCTGCCAAATGGCACCACAGATAGCGGTTATGACCAGAGCCAATACGCTCCTTAGTGGCGTTAAATCCTTGAGATATGAATCAATAGGATATGATCGATAGGGCACAAAGCCCTCTGTTAGCTAAGGTGGATTCAAATTTGTCCCCTTAGGCAAATACCCACCCCGGTCTACAAGGTTCCCTTGGACGAAGCAACCCATGGCTGCCGACAAGGATCCTTCTGTCAGGTTGGGTCGACTACCTCCTCTGACTAAGTAGACCAGGGACCACGATGGCCCGGGACGACGGAACCATGGGATCTTGATCGGGTCTATCATCCATTCCCCCACCATCCGCTTTAAGTGCAAGATGGTGCAATTTCTATGTTTAAATATCAAATCTTTCGAACTAAATTCCAAATCCAAAAACCCAATTTTCAATACCCAAACCCGTGCTGCTACTATATGCCAGATAACATGTATCTCTATACGTATCTGATCGACGACTAGCCTTAATCGAAAGTTCTCTCTCGTTATCGGGAGGGGTAATTGACTATAGGGGCTTGCGCCTATAGGAAACCAGAACTCAGATCATAAAGTCCTCACAAAATGAGGGCGAAAGCTCTGGGTTGTGTCTTATCTACAAACCCATCTGCCTTCCAAAATTTACCTCGGAACTTAGTTCGTTAAAACTCCCTCGCGGAATAAGAAAAGCGAGTGGAGGCCGAGGCCGAATTTTCAGAGCCCACAGTATGCTAATATCTTCTCACACTGCTGAATTACAAGTTTTCTGAGAAAATATTTTTTTGATTAACCGGTGCTTGTATAGCATTATAATTGCTCTCTTTTTTTGGTATAAAATTTATATCTTTATCAAATTGAAAACAAGTTTCCTTTCAGAACTGCAAATGTTTGCAAGTTTGACTGCTGTAGATCTTTTAATTTACATATGTACTTGTATAGTTCAAGCTGACAATTGTATCTCGGCTAGGAAAATAAGGAGTCCAAATGCTTTGTTGAAACTGCAGGTCGATGATAACTCGACCATTTTTGGCACATGGTATCCATTGTTGGAGAAAACAGTGTCATGCCTATCAAAGTTATACCATTGCCTAGAACCTGGTATTTTTACAGGTTTAGCTCAGGTGAGTGTGTTTTTTTTTTTTTTTTTAAGTACGTTATGATTTTTTTTTTTAAGTACGTTATGATTTTGTTGCTGGAAAACGTTTGTAATGGAATTTAATTTACTGGTAACTTTATATGTTTCACAGGAAGCAGTAGAATTTTGTTCAATTTCCATACAGGTTAGTAATATTTTGTCATCTTTATTCTTGATTTTTGTCCTTTTAAAGTGCAAGGAATTTTCCTTAATTATTCGTTTGTAATTTAACAAACAACTTTCGGAGTTATCACATTATTCTACTTTATCAAATTGTTCAATAGGGGGTTAAATGCAACCAAACACCCACCTAAACTCTCGTCATCTTACTTTCTGTTGTTGTTATTAATGCTATGTTTAAATGGTGGTATGCCGAAACCAAAAAAATATAGCTTAATTTACATGTGTACAAGCTTTGCCAACAGGCCTCAAACTTTTTTTCAGCTTTGGTTATCATTATTTTGTTACTTTTCATTGGTTCGTAAATGTTGATGCATCTGTTTATCATCTTTTGCACATATTGGATCCTTTGCCATCAATTTCAAGTGATTCTTCCTTTCTAGGAGTCCTTAAAGTTTGTAAATATTGCTGTTAAAACATCATTAGGTCCGTTGTATTGTATGAATTTGATTGGTGTAACAAAGAAAGTGCTTAATGGAGAAGAAATTTTGAATATTGTACTTCCAAGATAGAAGGTATATGATGAAACAAGAGAGGATAGAAAGATTAATTTTCTTGAGAAGATAGGGGAACACATCTTTCGAGCGTGTGGAAATGGAAAATAAATCAGTAAAGACATGCCAAATGCAGGATCGCAAAGCATTGTTATGGCTTTATGAGTGAATTGATACTCCAGGATTAGGAAGTTAGCGCCGTAGACTTAGTTTGTTTATCCAAAGGCTTACCATTGATAGCACTGCACTATGAAAACGGATTCATAAAGCTAAACTGATCCTAGATTAGATTAAGTTATTGGCCAAATGAGAAGTTTCAAAATGGAAAATTTATTTTAGGAAAATAACTTAGGATTAGAATGGCTGTGTTATAGAAAATTCACAGCGATTGATATAGAATTTTGATGCCCTAGATTTTTACGAGGATCTAAGACAAATAATAAAAAAGAATATAGTAGACACTATAAATTTTATATTAAAAAAAATCAAAAAGGGCAAAACCACACTGTATGACCTAGATGAAATGATTCACTATGAAAATATGTTATAAGTATCCCCTTTTCCCCTCAATTGGAGAAGATGAGATTACTTATATAATATAAATTTGTATTTTTGTGAATGTGTTGATGAATGTTGAAGATGCAGCAGTTGGATGGTATTAGTTGGGTGATGATAATTGGATGAGCATGATAGGGTGATGATAAACCAACAATGATAGTCTAATGATGGCAGTCGGATAACGACAAATATTTTATTATTACTGGGTAATGGTGGTCAAATGTCGGCAGTTGAACGATGGCAAATAAACAATGGTAGTCAGACGACCGCGACGGTTAATGGTGATCATCGGTATTGATTGTTAAGTAGAGCTCTAAATTTTATTAGATCTCCAAGCTGTCTCCAAACTCAAGTTTAGGTTCCTTTCATGTAGAGAATGAGGGTCTATTTATATTATTTTGGGAGAAATATTTTGATAAATTTGACCATATTTCCATTACACTTCATTGAACATCTCATATTAAATCATTTGGTTAGAGATCATTCATTTAACATTTATGTTTCTTAATGACTTCATAATCTAATGATTCTAGGCTGTTTGATTCATCTCATTGAGCCACTTTATTTGATTATAAGCATTCAAAATTTGGAGATTGTTTGATCTCTCAATTAATGTTATGAAGTTTTTAACTATATTTCAATCGTGTAGTTTGGGCTCATTTGTACTCGAAATGTGTCACTTTTTGTGGTGTTGGATTCATCTTGTCAAAATGCTTAGCTTGACTTTAAGTTTGCTGTAAAATAAGAGTTTGAAATATTATAAATTTAATTAAAAAAAATTAAGGTTTGTGTTAATCAAAATTTCTTAAGAAATTATTTCTCTCTATTTATGGATGACAATTACCATGTCATCCGAAAATGCATATTTAGTCTTAAAAAAATCTATAATTTTGAAAAAATTACTATGCACGACCACTTCTTGGGCGTCAACATGGTCCTCTCCTCAGGACTGTGAATCAAATAAATTCTCCAAAATTATAATTTCAACATTTATTTAAGTCAACACATGAATTGGAGGAAAAATTTTGCTCGGAATACTTCAAATTTGTTTGATCGTAAAGGTTATGTTGGACTTCAAAAATGTCAAAATTGAACCAAAAAATATCATAAAAATGGTGGAATAGACACATTTGAGCCCAAGATCAAACAGGAATGGATCGTGCCAGCCGGTGTTGACTACATCATCCACCATATGTCGGACCAAGGAAGTTACCCGGATAGACACGAGTTGATATTGTGACATGTATCATCACCGGTGATGTTTTAATGATTCTTCATGAAAAATTACGCTTTCCAAACAATTTGGTCGCTATATTTCTTGGGGCTTAGAGGTGAGGGCCACAGCCCTTTGGATTTAAAGTTAGAATTCGTATTGATCTATGAATCTTGATGCATATGGCTGGCTAATATAGTAGGTTGGTGTTAGACCGGTCCAGCCGGTCCGCACGGGACCGGCAGTTCGCCATTGAGGCGGGATCTTCGCCTCATGCGGAGATCGAGCGGCCCGTCCGCCCCCGTAGAGCCGTTTAGGAAGTTTTTTTTGAGCGTTTTGAGAGGGAAATTTGAACGTAGGGACTGTTTAGGGAATTCCTTTTGATTTGTATGCATTAAATAGTTGATTTTGCTAGGGTTTGAGTATCTTGAATTTGGCTGAAATTTGAGATCACCTAGATTTAGATTTTCTTTGGGCTCTTGGCGTTGCCAGAGATTTCGGAGAGATCGATCCTCCTCTCGAATTGAGGATCAATTGTATCTTGCTCTTTTATTCATCGTCTAAGTGGAATACAAGTCTTTTCTTGAGTTTTCTCTCGTATTTTCCCGGACAAGTGCTGTTTTCCTGCTGTAAACAGCAGAAATCTGCTGTTTTCCTGCTGTGGGCAGCCATTTGGCTGCTGTTTGTTCGCCGATTTGGGTTAGGTTTGCTTGCGAACTCAAGTACTATCTCAGGGTTACCTGCGAACTCAAGTATTTCCTATCAAATTGGTATCAGAGCATCGATTTGGGACCACCGGTGGCTGAAATTCTGAAATTTCAACAAGTTTATCTTTTTCGGAAGAAGATTTTTTGGGATCCGTTAGAAGAACGATGGATGGAAAGAAGGTGGACATCTTGGAAGGCGAAGTCGGTCAATTGAAAATCGATTTGGAGGAAAGATTTTTTTTATTTTCAAAATCAAATCACCACCAACAATGAAAGGTTGGAGGGAAAATTCACAGCCATGGAAGAAATGATGAAGAAATTACTTGAGATGAAGACTAATCCGACGTCGTCGGAAGCAAGAGAGACTACCGGAGACCACGGCGTAGGAGGAAATCCGAACCTGCTTAGGGGGAGGAGGAATCCGGATGTAGAGATCCTTGAGGGAGAAGACGACATGCCACCTCTAGAGCCACTTTCTAGGGAGGAGATGAGCATGGGAAATGATCGCTGTGGCAGATTATCGGGATCGGTTTGAGTACTTGGCTAGCAGATTGGATCACATTTCAGAGTCAGCCTTAGAAGGGAACTTCATGTAGGGGCTGAAACCAGAGATCCGAACAGCAGTTAGGGTACTGGAGCCGAGGAACCTGGGAAAGGCTATGGAGCTGGCGCAGTTGGTAGAAGATCAGAAGAAAGCAGAAAGAGGGGCTCGAGGAACTGCTCATGAGGCTCTAACGGGACGACAACCACTCTTCTAGCACCCAAGGAGCCTGCATCAGGCAACAGTAATGAGACCACCCGAGAGAAGACAATAGGAGGAGGGGGAAAATTTCAAGAGGCTGATAGAGAAGGAGGTGCAGGATAAGAGGACAAAGGGGTTTGAGTATGCATTAAATAGTTTTGAGAGGGAAATTTGAACGTAGGGACTGTTTAGGGAATTCCTTTTGATTTGTATGCATTAAATAGTTGATTTTGCTAGGGTTTGAGTATCTTGAATTTGGCTGAAATTTGAAATCTCTTAGATTTAGGTTTTCTTTGGGCTCTAGCGGCGTCTAGAGATTTGGGAGAGATCGATCCTCCTCTCGAATTGAGGATCAATTGTATATTGCTATTTTATTCATCGACTAGTGGAATACAAGCTTTTCTTTGAGTTTTCTCTCAGATTTTTTTGTGTTTTTGCTGTTTTTCTGCTGTGGACAGCAGATTTACTGTTGTTTGCTCTTCGTTTGGTGTTAGGATTGCTTGAGAACTAAAGTTTACCCTTAGGGTTACTTGTGAACTCAAGTATTTCCTATCAGTTGGCTGGACAATGTTGATGCATCTCTTTGATCAAAAGTGCTAAAAACACTATGTGCGTTTATAATTTTGCTACCCTGAGTATAGCTTAATTTCCAAGTCATTTGATAGTCTAAAAACCCATTTTCTGTTATTTTATTATAGCTTTATGGCTCTTTTCCTTGTATGATTCATCCAACCTTTTTGCTTTCAAAATATATCCACAGAATGGAAGCAAAATCATAACAAAAAAGTCTTCTCCAATGGATGGGCAGCTTTTTCTTATCAAGCACCTCCTTATTTTAAGGGAACAGGTTTGTCACGCTGTATGCCTGCCTTGTACTTGATGTGTCATTTGGATTTTGGGCTGTTTTTTTGGCTACTAAAAATGTTATGCTTTCCAGATCGCGCCTTTTGATATTGAGTTTTCTGTTATTCACAAGGAGTTGGATTTCTCTCATTTGCTGGTCAGTGCTAATTGAAAATTTCTTTGCGTTTTCATGTTTTCATCTTGATAACATTCTTTCCATGAGTACGTACAATGCAGACTTGTATCACGTATGCAATTATGATTATTCTTCTTTTTGCCTTATGCTTTCAACAAATACTTTTTGAATTGGCTGTAATTTCTTTTTTTGAACTACATGTGCGGGTTGATTTTTCCAATAGTGCAATTAGCATTTATATGGAAAAGCTCATAAAATAATGGATTATTTATGCTACATGAAACAATTGTAGATTTTTTTCACTTAAAAGTAAACCATGAAATGAGACTTTCAATTTTGAATTGCACCGAAATTTTTCTTTTGACATACTTGCATTTGGTCACATGAATAGATTTGTTAAGCCAGGCTCCTCTCCATGTAGCCATTGAATGCTAGCATGTTTATAAAAGAAAATGAATATGGGGATCTACATACATGTGATAAAATTCTTAGCTATTTACATAGCTAACACCTAAGCTTCTATATTTGCTTATATATCATATTAATTTCAAAATCTTATTAAAGCATATGCATGATAATATTCATTTTTATGTTATTTAAATATTTGAATATTATAAAAGTAAATATCAAGATTTAGGTGTTAAATATATAAATACAAAAGAATTTTATGATATGTATGTAAATCCCCCTATAAAAATTTGTCGTCAAATGAGTTTACTTGAAATGGTTATGAGGTGCTAGCCTCATTGGTATAATCTAAGATTTGGATTCCTCCACCCTTCAATCTAAAATGGGTAGTGTAACTGATGCTGGACGAGTAGACACTTTTTTCTAGAATTGTGGCCATAATTATAATTCTTTGTGCTTCCTTTGCTACTATTTAATTTTACCATGTCGCTGCATGTTTGTTGCTGAACTATATACTTAGGGGTGAAGACAGAAAATTTTTTATATGGGGGCACAAATTAATATTAGTCATTAAATTACTCTCGAAATACCATTTTTTTCAGTGTAATCGTAGATCATTAAACATGTTTTAAATGAAAAATTATTAAAAATACATCCAAAATCATATGCATTCCCATTAAAAACGAATATATATCACTCTCTATCTTAATATTTATTAAAAAATTAATATTTCTCCCATGGTTATTAATGAATTGAGTTCAAATAAATTGTTTTTATACCTTAGATTATTTTATTTGAATTAATTAAATTAAGTCTTAATTTTGAACTATTTATAGATTAATTAAATTTAAATTCGTATAAGATCAAAATCTACCTAATTTTAAATTATTGTTTATTAATTCTAAATTAATTTGACATAATGATTGACATTTAGTAAAGAAAATTATGAATAATACAAAATTATAAAGTTAATATAATTAAACTAATTAATTAACTTACTGAGATTTATTAAAAAAATTTATCAATTCCCCCCCCCAAAAAAAAAAGGGCGGGATAGAGAGAGAGAGGGTGGGGTGGGTGAGAGATAAAGAAGAGAGAGGGGAGAGACAATGAAGAGAGAGAGAGAGCACGCTGCCAACAACATCTGCAAAAAAAAATTCAACTGGGTGGAGGTGGAGCCAAAGAGGGGGCTGATTAGTTTTATAAATTAAATTTAATCGTGTGTATATATATATATATATATATATAATTTAAAAATTGACTTATTTTTAATTATTGAGCCAATGGGACCTGTACCCCAAGGGCCCCCACTGTAGATCCACCCCTGTATATACTATTTTGTTTGTTTCAGGGGTGATGATTGTGGCATCGGTGTCATGAATCTTGAGGGCATGCAGTGGAGAAAAACAATAGATTGGTACAACTGGCTGGTACTGTTTTTGGGATTTCTATTTCTCGAATTTTTTGCTAGTATGCGCAAATTATGTTCACAAGGGATTGCTTTATGCGGCAGTTTGAAGTTTTTAATTTTTTGATGAGGTTTAAATGTGAACTTGTTTGTTATCTTGAATCAGATTGAACTATCTTGTAATGTAGGCTTAAGAGTAAATATATATGTGCTCAAGCATGTAATCACAAATTTTGATCAAGTAAAATAATTTTCTTCTGCTTTTTAATCTTTTGTATGCAACTTGAATGTGTGATTCCTTTTAGTGATGTATAACTGAGATCGCCAAATTTTGTGAGAGCTCTTCTCCTTCCATTGTCATAAGATTTGGATTTTTTTTTTCCTTCGGTAACTACTTTGTTTGATCCAAATTCTTTCACCTAACTTGTTAGGGTTCTTGATTTTATTCAGATTTGACACAGGTGGAATTCTAATTGTGGTAATGAAATTAAAATTGCTTTCTTATTTTGCTTTATTTAAATTTCACACAAATAAGTTTGGATTTATTTGATCTTTATATTATCTTTTGAGTTTTAATTCTTGTATTTACTGTTTGTATTTAAAAAAGACAAGTTGTTGGTTTATTCAGTGGTTTATGATTGATGAATCTTAAGCTTATTTGTTTGATCTAAATGCACAGTATCATTCTTGCTGTTTTAGAAAATCCTAATCCTGACCGTCTTGCATCAGTAACATAGCTTATGCTTAGTGTTGAAGAAAATTATTGGCTATGACAAGTGCATTTGGTGTCTGTATTATTTCTTTTTGGAAGAGTGGACTGGGGAGGGATGTTTGATAATGCATACATTTAATTAGTATAACTACCTTAAGATGTCAGATATTTATTTAGTTATAAGTATGTTCTAACACTTGGCTTCCTGTACTTCCTTTAGCTGACAAATTTCAACAGCGGCTTTTTTTCCCTTATATTTCTGCATAGTTTGCTTTAATGATTTTGTTTACTAATATTGTATTTGTTTGTTATTTTATAGGAACATTTGAGAAGGATTCTGAGAGGTCAGGCTTCTCTGTTTGACTGGTCAAGATCAACTTCTTTTGCTATGACCTTAACTCCTCGAATTCTCGAAAGTCAGATAGATGCTAAAAAGGTAATCTATGAATTATTTTATCCAAATTAGCTTTTATTAACCATTTCACATAAAATCCTTTGGTGTGTTTATCAAGAATTGTGAGACAGCTACTCAGCACTTGTCTTTTGGTGAATGATTTCTTATTATTGTATTTATTGTCAGAATAAGAACATCCTTATACTCCATAAAATAGTGCTAGTAGATTGAGGTCTCATATATTTTTCATGTTTGGTGAGGCATAAGGTTCTTAAAAATAGGAATCAACACTTCTTCTCCACTCATCTATAATCTTTTTAGTCTTCAAAATAATAGTGAAAAGTTAATGTGTCATACTTCAAAACTATGGGTGAGAGTTATTTGAGCATATGTTACGTCATGATACTAATGTTTCTCAAGATCTATTTGGATTCATGCTGGGTAGGTCTACTATGGAAGTTATACATTTATTAAGAGGCTTGATGGAAAAGTATAGACAAATTAAAGAGGAACTACATATGATATTTTTTTATTTAGAGAAAGCATATTATAATGTTTCAAGAGAAGTGCTCTTGAAAGTATTAGAAAAGAAAGGAGTTAATAATGCTTATATTTGAGTCATTAAATATATAGGAGTTGTTACTTGTGTTCAAACGTAAGGTGGTTTGACCAAGTATTTTCCTATTTTAATTAGATTACTGATAGGAAACACTTGTATTCACAAGTATTCATAGCCAAAATCAGTAAACCGCAGCAATCTTATTGCTGTCCACTGCAGGAAACAGCCAATAAACAGATAAAAACAGGAGAAATACACTAGAAATCTAAGAGAAAACAAAATAGATCTCTTGTATTTCAAAAGTGGGTGCAAGACAACAAAGAAAGATACAATTTTCTTTCAATTCGAGAGGAAGGAAATACTCTCCACAATCTCTGGCAACGCCAAGAGCCCAAGGACAAAACCTAGATCTCAAAAATAGATTCAAATTCAAGATAACCTTAATCCTCTCATTAATCCCTAATTAAAGCTAAAGGAATCATACAAATTCCCTAAACATCCCCCTAATTCAAATTTTCCCTCCTAAAAATTGATTTAGCCCCAATTGGGGCCCACAACGAGTTCCGCCCCCCTGGCTTCTCTCTGTTCCGTCGAGCATACACTTGGACCGGTCCAGCTGGCCCCTCCTGGACCGGCATATCAGTACTCCCCTCCCAAAAACTCACCTTGTCCCCAAGGTGGAAAGAAGGAAACTGCTGCTTCACAATCTCATAGGGCTCCCAGGTAGCCTCGTAGTCGGGAAGATCTTTCCATCTGATTAACACTTCCTTGGTTCCTTTCTTATTAACTCTTACTCCTTCCAGCTCCATGGGTTCCATGACCACCTCCAAATCCTCTGTCAATGATGCTGGTAGCTCGGCACTTGCTGCATGCTCCCCAATCGCTCTCCTCAACTATGACACATGAAACACCGGGTGTATGGTGCCGGACGGGGGTAACTTCAGACGATACGCAACTGCCCCAATCCTCCCAATGACCTCATAGGGGCCAAAATACCTCGGAGCCAATTTCTTGTTCCTCCTGTTTGCCACTGATTTCTGCCTGTAGGGTCTTAACTTCAGAAATACCTTCTCCCCCACTTCAAATTGTATGTCTCTCCTGTGTGTATCTGCTCGCTTCTTCATGATTTGTTGTGCCCTTCCCAAGTGCTTCTTTAACTCCTCCAACACCTGGTCTCTTTCTTCTAAGTATTGTTCTACCACAGAGATCGGTGTGTTTCCCCTCCCATATTGCACTAAGTGTGGGGGGTCTCTTCCATAGAGCACATTAAAAGGGGTCATTTGGGATGCAGAATGGTACGAAGTATTATACCAATACTCCGCTCACGGTAACCATTTCGCCCATTTTCATGGTGTTTCAGAAGCAAAACACCTCAGATAAGTTTCCAAGCTTCGGTTTACCACCTCCGTCTGTCCGTTTGTCTGTGGATGGTATGCGGTACTCCTCTTGAGGACAGTGTCCTGCATCCTGAAAAACTCTCTCCAAAACTGACTCAAGAACACATTGTCTCTATCAGACACAATTGACTCAGGAATCCCGTGTAATCTAACCACTTCTCTGATGAAAGCGGCTGCCACTGTTACCACGGTGTAAGGATGTCGTAAGAGGATGAAATGTGCATACTTACTAAGTCGGTCCACCACTACCAAGTTGATTGTGAATCCCTCTGAGCAGGGTAATCCGTTGATGAAGTCCATGGACACTTCTTCCCAAACTCTGTTTGGCAGTGCCAATGGCTAGAGTAACCCTCCTGGGGCCATGGCCATGTATTTATTGCGCTGACATACCTCACATTTTGCCACCATCTCCTCCACATTCTTATACATTCCCTTCCATTAAAGCTCCGATGCCAACCTCCTATATGTCTTATGTACGCCAGAGTGTCCCCCAACTGCACTGCCATAAAATTCCTGCAATAGGTGAGGAATATGGACGGAGGTTCGAGGTATCACAAATCTCCCTTGATGTAGCAACCTCTCTCCCTCCAAATAATAGCCCGAATGGCTACTACTATCCTTCTTTAACTCTTCACTGATCTTCTTCCGCTCTTCATTTTGCATGCTCTCTTCCTTGATGCCCCCCCAGTCAACCATCAAAGGTAGTGACACTGTCAGGTCTTGAAGTTCCCCCATGCATCTGGATAAGGCGTCAGCCGCCTTATTTTCTACCACTGGCCGGTACTGTATCTCAAAATCATAGCCCAAGAGCTTTGACGGCCACCTCTGATGTTCCTCGGTCACCATCCTTTTCTCCAACAGGTATTTTAGACTTCTCTGATCCGTGCGAACGATAAAATGTCTACCCAGTAGATAAGGCCGCCATTTCTGAATGACCAAGACTATGGCCATCAGTTCTCTCTCATACACTGACTTCAACCGAGCTCTAGTCGATAGTACCTGACTGAAGTAGGCTATGGGTCTGTGATTCTGCATCAACACTACCCCCAGTCCATATCCCGATGCATCTGTGTCCACTATAAAGGTCTGGTTGAAATCGGGAAGGGCCGATACTGGAATTGTCGTCATAGCCTTCTTCAACCTCTCAAAGGCCTGGGTTGCTACCTCCCCCCATGAAAAATTATCCTTCTTCAGCTGCTCCATTAACGGCCAAGCGATGGAACTGTACCCCTTCACAAACCTCCGATAGTATCCTCTCAGTCCCAAGAAACCCCTCAACCCCTTGATGTTCTTGGGCTTGGGCCATTTCTGCATTGCTTCAATCTTCGAATGGTCGGCTGCCACTCCCTCTGGAGATACTACATGTCCCAAATATTCCACCCTCGACTGGGCAAAATTGCACTTCTTTAAGTTTGCTTTCAGTTGATGTGTCTGTAGAATCCCCAAAACCTCCTTCAGATGTTTCAAATGTTCCTCCTCGGTTTGGCTGTACACCAATATGTCATCAAAGAAGACTAGCAAAAACTTCCTCAGGTGCTGCCGGAACACCCGATTTATCAAGGACTGAAAGGTAGCAGGGGCGTTAGTGAGCCCAAATGGCATCACCAATAACTCATAGTGCCCCTCGTGTGTTCTGAAAGTCGTCTTCTGAATGTCCTCTTCCTTCATTCTGATTTGGTGATAGCCCGACTTCAGGTCCATCTTTGAAAACACAACTGCTCCATGCAGCTCATCTAATAACTCATCGATCACTGGAATGGGGAATTTGTCCGGTACCGTCTCCTTGTTCAGGGCCCTGTAATCCACGCAAAACTTCCAGCTCACATCCTTCTTTTTGACAAGTAAGACTGGACTGGAGAAAGGACTCACGCTAGGTCTGACGATCCCTGCTTCCAACATCTCTTTGATCAGCTTCTCAATTTCATCTTTCTGAATCTGGGGGTAGCGGTATGGTCGAACACTGATCGGTGATACTCCCTCTTTCAAAAGAATGGCGTGCTCCTACTCTCTAGGTGGTGGCAATCCCTGGGGTGGCTGGAACACCTCCATGTATTGTTGTATGAGCGGTTGCATCACCTGTGGAATGTCTCCTTCTTCCCCCACACTGACCCTCTCCAAACGTTGCAGCTCCACCAAAAATCTCCCTCCCACCTCCTATATGGATTTGATCATGGATTTGAGAGATACGACTGCCCTTGACAGCCCTGCATTCCCCTGGATCACCTTCCTCTGCCCTTCTATTATTAGTTCCATCCTCAGAGCATCCTAGTTGACCTTAGTCTCCCTCAAAGTCTGTTGCCATTTCATCCTCAGGATGACATATGTACTTCCCAATTCTAAGGGGAGAAAATCCTCCATTACCTATAGCCCTTGGATAGTCAGGATCACTCCCCTGCAAACTCCTCGCCCCATCTCCACCTTCCCCGTGCCCATCATCACCCCATAGCCTCCGGTATCGACTAGCTCCATCCCCAACTGATCAACGATCTGGGCAAAAATGAAATTGTGGGTTGCCCCACTATCGATCAACACCAACACTTCACGATCAGCTATCTCTCCTCTTACTTTCATACTGTGACTCGGAGTGAATCCCACTACTGAGTTCAGAGAGATTTCTGCAACATCCAGATGCAGCTTCTCCTCCCCTTCTAACCCGCTCCCACCTCCCTCCTCGTCTTCCTCGTCTTCGCAAACGAGAAGAATCTGAAGAGTTCGGTCCTTGCACCTATGTCCGGGCATGTACTTCTCATCACATCGGAAACATAACCCCTTTGACCTCTTCTCCTGCATCTCCTTCTCAGTCAACCGTTTGAATTGTCCCCCGTTGCCCCCTCCTCTAGTCCTATCCTTTGGTGCTTTCTTCAGACTCCCTGAGGCTCCCCTCTTTGAAGGCAAGAGGGTAGTAGTCATCCTGTACAACCCCCTTGAATAGTATCCCCGAAATCCTCTTTTAGATCTCTTCTGATCCTCCACCAACTATGCTAGCTCCATTGCCTTCCTTAGGTTCCTCGGCTCCAATACTCTGACAATTGTTCGTATCTCTGGTTTAAGCCCCTTCATGAAGTTCCCCTTCAGGGCCGGCTCCG